GGCGGCGACGCCCTCGTGGAGAAATATTTTATCGCCATTACTTAAAGGGCTCCCTCTGTTTCGGGCTTATGGACGACGACCCACTCTTCGGTGCTCGAGGACGTTCAAAGACCCTGTCGACACGATAAGTAACGATCAACGTAAAAGGACTCATGTAACTCGACGGGCTACGCAATGGCTTGCCTTAATTTAGGGGAATTTTTCGAGATCTTGGCAGGGCGGCAAAATTTGAATCCATCAAGGCGTCGATGAACAAATCAGCAATATCTGGAAAAGTAATACTTCTTTAACCGGTTATTTCCCTTGGCTTTGCTTATTTACCTCCCTACACATAAATGGATATTTATCGACGATTCACAATTATTTAATTTATATTTTATTTTAATTGCGAGCACATCAGCTGTGTGTCTGGAGAGGGAATATTCTTTTATCGGTTATTTATCTACCTACCACGTATATGAGTATGTATCGGCGGTTCACGGGGAATTATTTTATTTTTATGAATTTTAAATACTGTTCCCGGAATTTCTACCGCTCATGGAGATTGAACGTCGCCCGGCGATTCCCGCCTGCGTGAAAAAGGAGCACGACCGATTTGTCGGTGTAAGCTCGTGTAAGTCCGGCACACATGCTCGCGTATTTGCGAATGTATTCGATTACGCTCGCGTTGATTCTCGCGGAGGAGGCCGCAAGGGCCATGCAGTTAGAGCAGCAATCGAGCGGCTCTCGTACGAAATGATCGATGACTCCATTGTGCCGAGTTTCCCATATCCCGGCGCACGGCCGACATCGGCCGGCGTACAAAAAGCCGGCGCCATTTCCAAAATGGGAAGAATTACGGAAAATGGGAAAATCCAGGGTGGAAGATCGATCGCGTGCCATTCGTGACTGCGAGATTCGACGTACCTCCCTCCACGTTTCGGACCGCTGCAGAGCTGCGGTATCAGACATCGCCAGAATCCCGATTCTTTCCGCACCTATTCACAATAAAAGAATTTTTTTATTATCCTCTTTTCAAGCGAAACTTCTTACACCACGGTACTAAATTTCCATATTTAAGAAAAAAGAATCTATTCCGTAAATTGAAACGCGAACTTTCGTGCATCGATATTACCAAAATTATATTATCAACATTTTCGTTGGTGTCACCAAATCGTTGATAAAAATCATCGGACATTTTTTTTCTCGAGTCCGAAATGTTCACTTTGAAATCCCGAAGAAATTGCATTTTTCTTTTTTTTTTTTCTTTTTCTTTTTTTTTTCGTGGAAGAAGTAGGAGACTAAATATTCTTGCAAGGATGACAGAGACGCCGAGGAGAGGGACCTCGACTGGTCTACGAGAGACAATTCTAGGCAGCCGATGTGCACAATATACAAGGTATACAATGCACAAGGTGAATTTCAGAGTGAGGCGGGGTCCGACAGGAGCCCTCGCCTGAGGTCTCTCTCGAGGGAGCAGAGTTCCTCCCAAATTCCGCCCATCTTCTGACTCTTTATCCCCGGCTTCCCCGCCAAGATAGACGTGTTCATTGTCATCGAGACGAGGTGCATCCTCAATGGATCTTTATGCACAGGCCCTGGCAAAGATGCGCTCAATGGATCTCCTCCAGCCCAACGCAGGACCTCCCCGTCGAGTGTTGTGACTCGGTCTTTGACTGACAAGGTGTCCGGCATTGAGGAAACGTTTAAGACGTGACATTCGGAAGATCCACCGCAACAATTCCAGAGATTCAAAGACACAGGTTGACTTAGCCGGAAGTCAACGATCGGACACAATGCGCCTCCTACAAGAGGAACCGAAATTGTCCGAGGGTCCCATGGTGCACCTTGCCGAGGACTTCCCACGCCCTCAAAAATATATGGAATGTATTAAAAATCTGGGATAACAATACACATGATACTTTGTATAACAGAAGCATGGGTTACGACGTCTCTTTGCGCAGGCGCGGAAGACGAGTACGGGCACTCTTACGTCCTGGGACGTTTTAAAAATCATATTTCAGCCGGAATAATTGGAGGATAAAAAAGGTCGTAACTGGAGCCACGTTTGCGAACTCGTAGACTGGACATTTTTACCTCCTCTGAACTCCTCGAAAACCAGAGGTCTCGGTGGGCCTCGGACAAAAGGTGCAGTCTTAGCTGGACGTGACGTTTGTGGCTCGGCATGACAGTGCAGGTGCCTCATCCCACGTCAAAACCCAGCGTGGCGCCAAACAGGATAGGTACCCAAAGATCAACTGGTCCGTAATTGTTTAAGAGGATTAGCCCGGGGAGTTTACACGCCGTTGGAAAGGACCGCCTCATATTTATCCGACATTAGACGGCTAAACTCGAATTAACCGGGATAAGCTCGGAAGTCCCATTAAAAGTCAGGATGTTTACTCGTTAAATCACGCGGATCGGTTGGCACGGCTCCCAAATTGGAGATCAGTGTCAGGATGACCGGAAAGACCCGGACCACACAGCCCGCGAAAAATAATTAAATATAAAGAAATCTATAAAATTAATTCCACGCAGCCCCTTGCCGATGATTCGATGCTCTCGAAATTACCGGAATAATTTAACTACGTCGCTGTATTAATTGCTGGCAAATTATTTTTTCTGCGGACCAGGTAACACCGTCCACAGCCTGTTTATAGGACGATTAATGATGCCGGGTACCTAATTACCGCAAAACCGCGAATCGGCAGTAATTCTTGGGAGCAAATTGACGAGAATTCAGCCGTCGGAGCGAAATCTCGTAAGCTTGTCCAAGGACATCTAATTAGTTCGTCAAACCCTTGCGGACAACCTCTCCCGTTCGTCCTGGGTCGTCCTTCGGAAGGAGCTCCCAGGAAGTGACACCCACCGATCAATTTTGCGGAATTAACGAGTGACGGTTAACGAACGGCAAGTAGCTCCGACCAATTAATCCGGCGAAGGGGCTCCCGTGACATCTCCGGTGTTATTGATTTCTAAATATCTACTTAATGAAATGATTAATGACTTTATTGTCTCCGGCCGAGTGGAACTTGTGGCTCGGCCGTCGCGTTGGTCGTGCGGAAGCGTTGTTTAACGTCATCGTCGCGTAACAATGAAAAATGGTACCGAAGAAATATTTCGTCCATTAAAGGAGTAATTAATTGACTCAAGTAAACCGGAATAAATTGGATGCAACTGGTATTCGCGAACCATGGGGATTTATTTGAGTGAAATAATTATTCTTGAAATTAATGAATTCTTGAAATTCTTCGGCATCGTTCAAAGGAATTGGTTTCTTTTTTCTTTTTCTTTTTCTTTTTCTTTTTCTTTCTTTTTAGGGTGGAGGGATACGAGGCTGCGGAAAATGAATTTCGGGGAGCAGTTAGGACGACCCTGACCCAGTGGTACCGAGGCTGGGAATGGTTGGCGAAATAAGAGGATCTCGAGATGGGGATTTCAGGACTATCAAGGACCCTCGATCGAGATCAACGAGATCTCGATCCATGAGCCAGGTCGGCCTCATGTCGCGGGTGGCCGCAGGTGGCGCCTTCCACGTAATCTCTCTGGCTCAAATGCTGATACAGTCTGCGCTCGAAAACTCTCACGGTGGAATGTGTCATCCTGTCACTGAACTCGGGTCCTGTCAAGCGTCCTTAACACGGTACAAGACCAGAACGTCTGCCACGGATCCGCGGGGGACGCGTCTCTTCTCCACGTCGAGGCTCTCCGATCTTCCGACATCCTCATTGTTTATAATCTTAATTCGTTATCCGAGGCATCATCCGTTGAGCTTAAAATCGATATCACGGGGGTTTAACTCCATACCTCGAGCGGTAGATAATATGTAAATAAAGTCGGTGATGTATGCGGAGCCCGGCGAGAAGCGTTGTATCGCGGAATCGGGCTCTGGCACTCGGCATATCAGGTGATGAATTTCTCAGCCGGGAAGTCGTTGCCTCGGGAGACTTTTTTCTTCCGCACGCACCCCCCGGAATGCGTGTCAATGTGCTCGCGAGCGGAGGGGCGGAAGGAAAATTGGGTGATATTTTATTCATAAATTGTGTACCGGTCTCGACACCCCCTCAAGTCCGACTACGCGCAGACCCGAAGTACTTGCAGCGCCGATTTCAAGGGTCAAGCGATAAGACCGGGCCCTGAAATTCGTTTACAGTTTACAATAAATAAACGCGATAAACCTACCTTTCCTATATTTCAATTACCAACCAAAAACCTCAATTAAACGACTCGGAACGCGCCACCTGAAAATAATTCAATCCTTGACGAAATATTATTCTTACCTTCAACTCTAATACTAATTAACCCCTAACGCTCCGACTTTTAATTTTGAATATCGACCATCAACTCCAACTTATTCTCATCATACTTCGACTTGCAAGTCGGTCGGATCGGTGGTGCTTGAGAGGCAGACACTTGGAGCGTTAAGGGTTAATACGAACAATACGAATTAAATTTTATCTCGGGGCAAAAAATAAAAGAGATAAAAATATCCGCCACTATGACCTCGATCTGAAAAGTTACCCTTCCGTGGCAGTTACAGACCCCGTTTCCAGTATGGAAGTCTAGAATGACAGGTCCCGAGGCCAACATTTCACCTCTGCAGTTACAGTTTACAGTCCAGGAATTTGTTAAGAAGACCTCACCGCGCATAATTACATACGGGTCCAGCTTCGAGCATCAGGCTTCCGGTCGTTTCCTCGGAGGTAGGTCGTACGAAGGTGGCACCGATATTACGGGTATACGATAAGTGTCAACTGCAGGACGGCAGATAAAAGGAGGGAAAATAAAATCCGTAGCGATCCATCATACGGCCGGGTGCGCGGCCCTGGAGGGGCGCCCGATTGGTCGGATCCGCCCAGGGCGGGTCACGTGACGGTCGAAGCCGCGCCTCCGCCACTTCTGCGCGGCCGGGCGACTCCGCGGCGCCTCCTGCCGACTCCTGGAGAACCACGGCTCGGCCTCACCTGCCCGCGGCCGGCCTGCGACTCGAGGCCGCAGTCCGTCCGCGCCGCCCGAGGAGAGACCGCGCCTCGCGACCCGGCTACCGACTGCGCCCGGTGCAAAGGTCGCACCGCGCGACGGGTCGACGGCGACCGACTCCCAGCGGGCCAGACGGTCGCCGCACTCCCAGCAGGTCGGAGCTCGAGAGTGGAACGACCCGAGACCGGAACCAGGTCTATACCGGGTAAAGGGGAACGAATCGGTAGCTGAGGTGAAGAGGGCTCTTCCCCAGGCCGGAACCTCGGATCGGCCTTGGTCGTGGAAGCCCCAGCAGTGGACCACTCGAAATGACCGCGTTCCGGGGGAAGGAGACGAGTTACCCCGGATAAGCGCGTCGGGAGACAGTGGATTTCATGGTTCGCAGTATAGTTGGTGCAGAGGGAAGGTGCGGGAACGTGGACGGAGTCGGTCGCGTGGGTGGGAGGTAAGATGAGGGCGTAGCGCGCCGGCTGCCCTATCGATGACCATCCCCAGCAAGGATGATGACGATGGACATGGGCATGTACGGGACCTACGGCAAGCCTGACTCGTACACGGCGTACGGATTCGCGGGCCAGGGCGCCGCTCAGGGACACGCGCCGGTGGCGCCATCCCCGGAGCTGGCCTCGGTGCCCTATTATCCTCAGTCCGCGGTGGCGCCCTACACGTCGACGGCCTCGTCCCCTGCGGCTCCCGAGAGCTTCCTGGCCTCCGGGGAGGCCGGGAACTCCGTCACCCCGCCGCAGACCTTCTACTCCCCGTCCGGAGCTATTCTTCACGAGGACGGCACCGCCATCATCTCCTCGGAGAATGGACTCAGCTACACCAACCTCGACTATGCGAATTACCCCTCCGCGCACCACCCGGAGGCCTCGGGGCACCAGGGGTATCACCTGCAGCAGGGCTCCTTCAGGGAGGAACCTCCCGGCCTGCACCAGCCGGTTCAGCTCCAGGTCCAGGCCCATGCTCACCAGGAACACCCCGACCAGCTGCACCATCACCAGCAATCTAGTCACCAGGCCGACTACCAGATAGCCGGCTATCTGCACCCGCTATCCGAGGACCCGCTGCTCTATGGACCCGCAACCGTCAGGCAACCCGAGTACTCCCAGCATCCTGGGACGCATTACAAGGAGGAGGGCTCCGATCAGTCGCCCTATCACGCCATCCAGCAGGGGCCTCACGCGCTGCACCCCCATCCCCATGCTCGCGCCCACTCCCATCAGCAACACGCTCATCCGAGACATACCCAGCAGCATCAGGCGCAGGTGCCCACCTACAAGTGGATGCAAGTCAAGAGGAACGTGCCCAAACCTGTTGGTAGGTATCTCCCGAAGGAGGCCACGCGTGCTTCTCGTTTTGGCTCCGTGGGTACCGTGAAATCGGATCAGGATTCGTTCTGCCGATTGGACGGTAATCGGGGCCTCTAATTGGGACCCATTCTTCTAGAACGAGCATGTCTTATTCTATAGCGAATGCTACGACCTTATTTACATGAATACTGCTAAATAATTTCGAGTCTCGATCCAAGTCGCTCCTGAGGGGAACTTGGAGAACGCTTGGTATTTACGGAGCCGATAGAGCGTGATACCAAGTGAAGGGGGTCTTTTAGTAGCGATATTTGTCGTTTAACGGAAAATATACGAACGGGTAGGGAGATGCTTGCAGGATAGAGACACGCTCGATTGAGGCCTGTGAACTTGGCGACTTCCTCCTGCTTTTCAAAATGGCGGGCCTTGTTCAGTTTTACCGAGAGTCTCGAGGTTTTAAACCGACCACTTCGACCTCACGGCCAGGTAGCTCGGTGCTCGACTCCGAGAGGTAGATTAATCTCCATCGATTGACGTTTTAGAAGTCCGTATCCATGATGACTCGATTAAGAGTGGCAGTCGAGTAAAACGTTGTCCGCCTGCCAGGGTTCCACCGATCTCGGAATGTCTGCCGCGATAAAAACCAGAACCCGGCCCTGACAGGACACGACTACTCAATTATTTTAAGGCGTACACTTATCTATTGTCCTCGCGGGAGAGCCTACACGCGTTGAAGTTTCGGCACCGAAACAGGTTGACCGAAAATTGAAAAATGATCCCGAGGCCGGAGGAACGGTCGAACGTTTGCTTTCTCTTGGGGGCGGTTCCACCTCCTTCTTCTAAAGGGTGGTAAATTAAATTAAAACCCTTCTCTTCTGACTCCTTGGAAGGGTTGGAAATTATTCCCGGTCGCCGTTCGCTTCGTTAATGGATTTAGTAACGTTTAGAAATCGTCCTCCCTCATCGAGATATAGAAGAAGCAGGAAAATTTCGAAAACCATTTAGCCGTCTCTCGAAGCTCGATGCCCCGCGACAACCTGGATAAGGACATGGCAGATAACTCTCTTATATGGCCGATACGGAAGATACCGACGTTTACACGGAAGCTGCTCCTTTGCGGCTATAAATCAAACGTGACAACTGCTGGGTGGATCTCTATCTGCCGAATGCAAACGGTCTCGAGCAAGAGCCACACTATACACGAGTCCTTGCAGCGAATTCAATCGGCTAAAAGGATCAAGCAGGAGCCGCTTCCGGACCCGCGTCCACTTCTTATCATCCTCTGAACTCTATCATCCTCGGGAATGGAACAGATTTTCCAGGATTTTTCATCATCTTTTTAGGGACTATTTTTACTCACCTATCCGTCGCGTGGATTGACGAGTTGTCGATTCTAATGGCGATTAAATCGTGTTCGCTTATCATCCGACAAAAAAAAGTAGCTGCAACTTAATCATTCGCTGCGGTGGGAAAACTGTGCTCGGCGGTGTCGCGAATTTCCGCAATGCGGTGCACCCAGCGTATTACGCATTAAAATGGGTTTTGCAGGATTTTTCTTAATTTCTTTTTTTTTTTCCACGGAAATATATGTACTCAGCTATTTGTCGGGAGTCTTGACAAGCTGTCGGTTCTAATGGCGGTAAGATCGTGTTTGATCGTCGTCCGAAAAAGTAGCCGCAACTTAATTATTCGCCACGGTGGGAAAGCTATGCCCGGCGGTTTCCGCAATGCGGTGTACACGGCGAAAGTATTCCGCCCGGTTATGCTCCGCTAGGCAACCGGTAGAGTACCGCGACTTGTACGACTTATTTTGAGTCGAAAGCTTGTTCCGATTTCCATATCGGATCCGATCGATTTCGCGACATGAGTTACGGATTCGATTTCTGGCTCTCGCGACTCGAAGGGTCGACCGGCGACAAGAGTCCTTCGTAGGTGATAAAGACCCTTGGGTGATAAGGACCGACAGTTGATAACGCCAGAAATTTCCCGCGAATTATTTCATGACATAATCGACATCGATCGGGTCGACTCGATCTCTTAGTTAGGAATTATCGAACGGTTATTTATAATGTATCGCGAATATGGCTGCAATTTCACGGGATCGACGATAGAGCTCGACCTGGCTCGACCGAACAAAAAAGAAAAAAAAAACATCGGTAGAGTCTCGCGCCAAATGCATTGCGGAGGGTTTTGGGAACTTTTCGATAGCCAGGTTTTGCATCGGTATCCTCTTTTTCTTCTCCGCTTTTGTGGGGACGAATTTCCCGAAACGAACTCGTGGGAGTTATCTGCCGGCCGTACGACTCGACACGGAATTGCACTATGTATATCGAAATATGAGACTGTCGAAGGGCTGGGGTACTTTTTTCTCTGGCGGGACCAGAGCTGACAACCCGCCGGCGCCAGTCCGTCGAATCTCTCGCGAGAAACGTACAGGTAAACGCGTTAAATCGATTAAAACGTTAGACCGCTCGGTCGGCTCCCGCTTATCTTGACAATGCTCCTCAAAACCGACGAGCTTACTCCGCGGACAACTCGGACGATAACGCCTCAGATTTACGTCCCTTAGAAAATTAGTCCCGTTCCCTTTCCACGGGAATAAAGAGCTGCGTCACGAGAACCGATAGCTTGGAGTAATGGTCTCTCGAGAAAAGTTTTACAACGTAATCGAGACCTCCAGCCAGATCCGCTAATTATGCGCAAAGTGACGTGTCTATATAATCGAGGGATAAAGACCCAGGAAATTATTTTGGGAGCCCCAAGCAATGAGTTTCAAATTTCGAGGAAAATTTGTATACGGATTTGTCGGTTTCGAGAAAAATTGTACAACTTTAATCGAGACCGCCGGGCGGATCGGCGAATTACGCGCAAAGTGACCTTAACCAATCGACACGTGTATAATGACGTCGTAAAGACCCAGGAAATTATTTTCGGTATCACGAGGGATGAATTTGAAATACCGTGTGGTTATAAATCGGAGGGAAATATATATACGGATTTATCGGCCGAGTCGAAGGAGAGACAATATGCCGTCTTAACGTCCCTTCGCGGTGTCAACGGAGCTTAATTTACTTAATAGCCCGGTACTTGGCGCTAAAGCTCGAAGCAGGAGCTTAGTCGCTCGGTCGAGCTTGTCGGGATTACGCGCGTTTCGCTTAATAGCTCATTATAAACGAATTAATAACGCAAACGCGTTTCCAGAGGGTGAGACCGCGACAGTCATTGCAGCCGAACATGCAAACCGGGCCCGACCCGGGGCGGCCACCCTCGATCACCGAATCACCCCCCATGACCCCCGCGATTTCAATTTCCGACCCTTAACTCCCACCTTTAGCAGATTTTACGGAAATTCGGCTCTTCCTGCGGCTCTTTACCCTACTTGAATCCATATAACCTAAAAATCCGGAACGGAACGACTTCATAAATTCAAGTAATCGTTATCAAGGAAAAATCACAAATACTCCTCAAAATTGTCTCCACACTTTTAAGTGGTTTCAGACAATAGCCCCAGTCTGTGGACACCGCTTTTAAAATCCTTAGAACAATTATTATTTGTCACGTGGAATGTAGATAACGGGGCACGGTACAAAACTCGGATATGTTTTTTCATTGCACGTTGGAAACCCTTCGAGAGACCTACTCGTGTGCCCTAGCGAATCAAGTGGCGAAGCGCAGGATTATCGACCGGGCGTTATCCGAGCACTCGTTAACAATCGTTTCATTTCGCACCCCGTAAATCAGCGGTGCACTTTTTACGAGCGCTTCGCTCTTCCCGGGTTCCCGAATCCTCGGGTGTTAGAATTTAGATCCGAACGATTGCCGGCCGCGAGCTCACGGAATGTTTCACTTAGAAACGTCGGATGTGTAACGGTGGGCTTCTGGCTGCAGAGGATAATTCCGGGTTTTTCCGTCTATACCACGCATATGCATATGCATTATCACATAGCGTAAACGTTAATCAACATTTCTAACGTCTTTCTCATACTGGACCTCCATATTGGAACTCACGGAATGTTTCACTCAGAGACGTCGGATGTAATGGTAGACCTCAAAAAATAATTCCTGAATTTTCCTTCAGTGGCATATATAAGCATGTACGTTATGAGATAGCGTAAAAAGTCTGTGAATATTCACTCAGAGACGTCGGACGTAATGGTAGATTTCTAGCCTCAAAAAATAATTCCTGAATTTTCCTTCGGTGTCATACGCAGGCACTATAAAATAGCGTAAAAAATCTCGTAATATTTCTAACGTCTTTCTCGTGTTGGATCTCCGTCTTCGGATTTATGGAGGATTAATAGAATTAGTGGCCGCTCAGCTGCCGTACTTGGTCGGATAAGTGGCGCAACCGCCAGGGTGGAGAGAACTGGATGGGCGGAGCACGAATAGGGTTTGGCGAGGGTCTCATTGGACGGATCTCACAAAAGGTTCTCCCCCGAATCCTGGCCGGATCCTGGCCGGGTCCAGAAAGGACTCAGGGCGTTGCAGGGGGTGCAGGGCTCCGTCCACCCTTCATGGACGCTTAGCGTCGCGCCGCTGTCAGCCGGACGACCCGATCTATCATACCGGACTTGATTTCTTCTTCCTGCGATACGCAACTGCGAGATTGGCAATTCGGTAGAAACCGAATAAAAGCCCGGTTCCTGCTGGGCAGGACACTCGACCTCCCTTTATGTCTTCCTTTTCACGAAACGACCCTATTCATATCTATCCTTATTAAAAAAAAAAAAGGAAAGAAAAATGAAAAAGAACATTTTTCTAAGTAATTCTGAAATCAAGAAAAAATTATTATACGATTATAGGCACTTTGTTGGCATTTTTATTTCTCTCTTGGAGAACGAATGGGAGAGAAAGTTGCTTCAGGTTAGGTTGTTGGGGTTTCTTTTTTCGTGGGGAATTGAATTATGAAATGGACGATGGTGGTAGGAGGGAAGTTTGAGGTTAGGTAAGAACATCTTTTTTGGAGAACGCGATTTTGGGAACGCAGCGTATAGCCGGGAGTCGGGTTTG